CCCAAAGGAAGCGTCATGTTTTGGGCTTGCTTTGAGGTTTTCAGCAAATTTTTATTGAGGTCGTTGAGAATATGCTTACAACATTATTTTGTTTTTACTTTTCATCTAAGATACATATAGAAGGTCTTATAAGCAGAGTGAGTGAGGAGATAATGAAATGAAAAGGGGTGAAGCACATTGAATAACATCTACCCCACGCACTAACATAACATCATATACTTTTTTTTAACAAATTATTTTGTTAAAAAGAGACATATCGTATGTAATTTTGTGTATAACTTTCTATTTAGTTTTAACCTATTTTCATTCTTAGATGCTGAAAACAAATTTTTTTAAGTTTTCAAAAGAGAGAAATAGGGCTAAATTAGAATATACTCAATGTTTGATGATGTAAAACAGTAGCAAAGTAAAATTCCATTATGTTTTCCAAAGGAAAAACAACTCATTGTCAATTTTACCTTTCTCATGAATTAAAAAAAGTGAATAAGTAAATTAAAATCACAAATTTACAATACATAAATCTTAAAGGGTCAAGTGATACCAATCTATTAAACAAAAATAAGAGTTTATCAATTTATGCATGGAAATTGATTAATATTGGAGTTCAAGTATAAAGTAAGTCTCATATTAATTAGAGTTTGACATATTAAGTAGTATATAAGTGTAAGGGATTCATTTATCTAATGTCTTAAGATTTTAGGTTATGATGTGATGTCAAACTCATTTATATGGTTTATTCAATATCCATTGATGGAATGCTCCCTTAGTGTTTCAACTCTCTAACCCAACAATGATATTAGAGTCAAACTCGACCAAGTGATTGGTGACTGATTGAGACAAATATTTGAACAACAAAATTGGTTGTGGACTTCAAAAGTGAATTGGCATAGGATCCAAGAATGGGATCATCCTTGTATCGAAAAATCTTCCTAGAGGTGTGGAGGATGTGTATTATTGATATGCAACAGTGGTGAAAGTAAGTCACCATTAAATACTCATAATGAAAAAAGACACTCCCGCTTAACATAACTATGTGGAAGAGACTCACAATTGAGGGGAGATGTTGGAGTTTAAGTGTGAAATAGGTCTTGTATCAATTAAAGTTTGACATGTTGAGTAATATATATAAGTTGAAAATGATCCAATCAACTACCTAATACCTTAAGGTTTTGAATTATGATATGATATTAAATTTACTTATATGATTTACATACTATTTATGAATGGAATACTCCTTCGACATTTAAATTTCGCAATCCAACAATAGAAGTAATAAAATATGTGATTCCAACTATATTACACAATTTCAACAAGCTAGTTTTATTTTGATACTTAACCATTGTACTTATTATAAATTGAATACTCTCTCGATATTTAAATTTCGTAATCCAACAAGTAAAGTAATAAAATATGTGAAAAAACTTCTAACTATATTACACAATTTCAACAAGTTAGTTTTGTTTTGATACCTAATCATTGTACTTATTATTATTTGTTTATTCAAATTGTTCTATTTATTTATTTTCCTTATTAGAAACAAGACAAAAAAGTTTATTTGAAATTATTGGCGTGAGATGGTTCAATCATAAAATATCTAAGATATATGGGTCCAGCCTGTTTCTAAAAATCTAGGGTAGTACAATAACTTGAAGTTGCCAAAACGGGTGGACCAATTGTATCAAAAGAGATTATAGTTTTCTATATTAAAAAAGCAAAGACTAAATGGACGAGTTGGAAATTTTGTGTTTTTCTATGTTTTTTTCCCCGAGAAAATGATAGGAAAGGGACGACAGTGATATAGCCTTAAGTATACAAAATCCCTCTAGTTCTAAATTTAGCTTTCATCCTATAATGAATAGATTTTGAAACAAAACAAGAAAATTAACATTCATGATGAATATAGATTAATATTTCAGGATAGATATATTACCTTTCATTTTACCTTTCGAACAAAAAAATGGTGAGGGAGAATTTGCAACGGTGGTATAGCCATAAGTATTCATATTTTTTAGGGTTATTAATTTCAAAAAAAAATTATAGTAAGTTAAATTAGATTTTGAAAATCAATCAGATCCAATTAGTGTTATGATTGGTTCTCACGTCTCAAAGTTTCAAGTTTGAATCTTAAATTTGATATAAAAAAAATTATAAAAAAAATAATTTTAATGTAATAAAGATTTCAAAAATACTAATTTCTGACAAAGTTATACCTTCAAAACAAGTGTGATTGTCATGTCACAAATGAAATAACCCACAAATTGATAAATTAAAAAATATTTCCTTTTATGCCTTGTCATATTCTTTGAACTATAAAAGTTGGCTCTCTATATAATTGTGCATGTTTCGCACAACTGATTATAGGAGTTATTATGGTGGCAATTCCTTAAAGAATCGCGAGACTAATACAACACCAGTGAGAAAAGGAAGAACAAGTATGTAAAGAAGAGAAAATTGATTATTAATTCAACGATGCTTTAGTCATTTTCATCGCTTTAACACGACAATCATGGATGTATGGCTAGTTCATTTTAGTTCAAGCACTCAATGTATCAATATAGAGATCATTTTATCAAAAAAAAAATTTTAATTTTAGAGAATCAACTTGACAGATCATTAACTATAAAAATTGATTGATCATTTATATTTCTAGAGATTATTTGATTAATTTAACAGATCAATTTAATTGAGTACTATAATTTCATATTGATTATTTACACTCAGTAATTTAATTATTAATTATTTATAATAATCTAGTACAGAAAGTCAAATATTTAAATTAGGAATATGTCTCGGAATCCACTGGCCATAATGGAGAAAAGGGATGACAATATTTTTATTTTTTAACTTTTTGCTAATGTGACAATATTTAATTTAATGCAGGAAATAAATAAGAGACAGGTACTGTTTGAGAAGAAGCAACAAATAAAGGAAAAAAAGAAGGAAGTTAGGGGAAGTGGTCACGCTTCTCTAACATGTTAGGGAAAATGAATTAAACAAGGTAGAATCATTAGGTACGATTTTTATGCAAAAGCAACTTACCCATACCACAAATCTAAAACTTCCGCGGCTTTTACCAACAGATTAACCATTAGGTGGTGTTTCGGACACAATTTTTTTATTTATGAGAATTATAAAATTTGAGAATCTAAACATTTTTACTACATTAAATAAATAAATAAAAGTAACATAATAATTTTATCGCATTAAATTTATTTTTTTACTTTAAAAAGGTTAATTTTCTACCTCTCGGTGGAAATAATTTTATGAAAAACATATGGAAAAAATCATTTTCAGAAAATCATGTATTTTAGGAATGTTATTTTTTAAATAATAAATCAAATAAAAAAAATAAACATTTTCAAAAAAAGTAAAAGCTTCTGTGTACAATTCCTTAGAGGAGTTCCGCTTTTGATGATTACCTAAATAATAAAATCCATAAGGAATAATGTTGTAAGCAATGCGAAAGTGGGAGAAAGAATAATAGTTGAAAAACCATGCGTCCAAAATTAGACATTACAGTAAACAACAAAACGTTCGATAAACTTTGCTTTTTCTTTTTACTTGAGAGAATCAAATACGCGTAGTTGGTCAAAGAGAAAGTGGAGGCAACTCCATTGGACCCTCTTGCTGTTGTTGATTAAGCATTGGTAAGCTTTTCCTAATCCAATATTACAACTTACACAATTGGAATCTACTACCATAATGTTGCTAACGCATGATTTCAACTCCAATATCAACCGTGGAAGTAGATTGATGAGCCCTATCCAGAATCTATTACCATACATTCAACTAATGATCTTTGGGCCTAAGACTAAGTTCCAAAAAAAAAAATATATATATATATATATATTGTTGGGCTTAAGAGTTAACTTTTATTTTGATAATTGAAAAATAATTAGAATATGTTAAATAATCCTCTCATTTATAAAAATATGTTCCATGTGATCCTAAAACTTCACAAAAAACTTACTTTGGTTCCCCATTTAATAAAAATAAAATAAAAATAAAAATAATAAATAATAAATAATAATAAATAATAATAATAATAATAATAATAATAATAATAACAACAACAACAA